TTCTATAATCCTGCTGGAATATTCCCTATACACTCGCTTAAACGTTCTATAATCCTGCTGGAATATTCCCTATACACTCGCTTAAACGTTCTATAATCCTGCTGGAATATTCCCTATACACTTGCTTAAACTTTCTATATTCCTGCTGGAATATTCCCTATACACCTGCATAACTTTCTATAATCCTGCTGGAATATTCCCTATACACCCACATAAACTTTCTATAATCCTGCTGGAATATTCCCTATACACCCACATAAACTTTCTATAACTAACAAGAGTAAGGCGCCCTCTGCCAGTTGGTCAACACTCTTTCCACCGCAGCATTTACCCTCTGATGTTACTTGTCTTTCTCCCCTATTATGTTGAATGCTCCTTGAGGAAGGTGACTAGGACTCTCTCATCTCTAGATCCCCGAGACCAAGTCCAGTGTTGACATACAACATAAGAAGGCATAAAAAGAGACAAAGAAGTATTGCTTAAACAAGGGACATGGGCAGGAACAAGGCATCTAGAACTGTAGAATTTTATAAATTGGGATCAAACCTTTGATGAGAGTGTAAAAAAAAATAACATTGGATTTTCCTTTTATGATATTGTCCAACTCCCTCAACTCACCTCACTGTTGTGGAGTCAGTTCTGACTCATAGCGACCCTACAGGACAGGGTAGACTATAACTTTTCCGAGACTATAACTTTTAGGGGAGTAGAAAGTCTTGTCTTCCACAAAGTAGAGTGGTTTTGAACTGCTGAACTTGTGATTAGCAGCAGCCCAATGTGTAACTACTAAACCACCAGGGCTCCATTTGTCCAACTAGGGCAGCTGAAAACATCAGGCCCTACCATGTAGTCAACCAAAACTTTAGGATTCAGCAGAAGGCCAAAACCAAACCAAAACAAGCAAACTCGTGCAAACAAGCCAATTCCAACTCAAAGCAACCCTGCAGCAGAAAGTTGGCCATATGGATTTGGGGCCACCCCTGGCCACAACAGCACTGGAAGCACTCTCTCAATGATACCAGGAGATTTGGGAGACAGCTACTTGGCCAGCTGACTGGAGGAAATCCATATTTTCATCCATTCCAAAAAACAGTGAGCCAACAGAATGCTCAAACTACAGACCACTACCACTGATATCTCACAAAGTAAAATTTTGCTGAAGATCACCCAAAAATGGTTGCAACAGTACACTGACATGGAGCTGCTAGCGATTCAGAAAAAGATGTGGAACAGGGATATCATTGCTGATATCAGATGGGTTTTGGCTCAATGCAGAGATTACCAGAAAGATGTTTCCTCATGTTTCGTTGACTGTGCAACAGAATTAGACTGTGCAGACCATAATATACTATGGATAATCTTCAGAATCATGGAAATTCCAGAACACTTCATTGTGCTCATGGGGAATTTGTACATGGATCAAGAGGCAGTTGTGTAAACAGAACAAGGGAATACTGCATGGTTGAAAATCAGGAAAGTGCATTAGGGTTGTAATCTCTCACCATACTTGTTCGATCTGTATGGTGAGCAAATCATTAGAAAAGCTGGATCATATGAAGAAGGACGTGGCATCGGGATTGGAGGAAGGCTGATAACAACTTGTGAGATGCAGATGACATAACTTGGCTTGCTGAAAGTGAGGAAGACCTGAAGTGCCTGCTAATGTAGATCAAGGATTGCAGATGTCAATATGGATTATAACTTAATGTAAAGAAGATCAAAATGCTCACAAGTGAACCAAGAGACAACACCATGATAAATGGAGAAAAGTGTGACGTTGTCAAGGATGTCATCTTCCTTGGCTCCTTGGTATCCTGGACTGCTAATACAAAAAAACACCAAACTTGCTGCCATGATTGCTGACTCATAGAGATCCCCCGAGGGTTTCAAAGACTAACTATTCACAGGAGTAGAAAGCCCCGTCTCTCTCCCTCGGAGATGCTGGTGGTTCTAAACTGCCGGCCATGCAAATTGCAGCTCAACTCATACACAATACACCACCAGGACTGCTAACCTGGCAAACAAATCTATCTGGAAGAAGTACAGCCGGAATGCTCCTTAGAGGCAAGGATGGTAAGATTTTGTCTTACATACTTTCGACATATTATCGGGGGAGACCAGTCCCTACAAAAGGTCATCATGCTTGGTAAAGTGGAGGGGCAGTAAAAAAGAGGAAGGTCATCAAGGAGATAGATTAAGCCAATGGCTGCAACAATGGGCTTAGAAATAGGTACAGTTGTGAGGAGGACGCAGGACAGTACCGTGTTTAGTTCTGTTGTGCGTAGGGTCCCTATGCGTCAGAACTGACTTGATGGTCCCTGACAAGAACCAGTGGGGCACAACAGGACTCTGACAATAGGGTTCAAAATGAGCCCAATGCGCTTATCTTCTTCCATACCCCCTTTGTGTGGTAGGGCCTGCCATCCAGCATCTCAGTTTCTCATTACCTGTTCTATCTCAATGGTGATCCCCAGGGTCTCGCTGGCTGCATTCTTTGCCCGCGTGGCATCAGCAGCAGCACTGCCTAGAGCTGCTGCTGCTTCTTTGGTCTTGTCACTGGCATCTGCAACCTTCTGGCTGATGTAAGCAAGCTTTTTCATGGCCTCCTCAGCTTCCGCTTTCCTGTCTCCAACCTGCAGGTCAAACTCTGAAAAGAAGAAAACATTGCCTTAAATCCATCAAGAGGCACAAAGAAGGATATCATATAACAAAGAAACAACAGAACAAGACAACATAACCATAATAAACATACATGCACCAATGGAAAGATCCTCAAAATACCTTAATCAGACTTATAGAGAGGAAGAGAGAAATAATTCATACAATAATAATAGCATTAGACTTTACTGTACTACTGTTGAGGAAGGCAGATCATTGGGAAAGAAACTCAGTAAAGACATAAGAACTAAATAACACAATTAGTCAACTTGACCTCTAAGACATACCACTCCACTGAACCACAGCACAGTAGACATTAGTTCCCATTGCACGAGGACCATTCCCTAGGGCAGACCAAATGCTAGACAGCATAGTAAGCCTAATAAATTAAAAACCTTTGAGATATTAAAAACCATTTTCTCAGACAACAATGCTATACAATTATACATCAACACCAGGAACATCAGGGAGAAAAAAACAAAACAAACAAAACAGGTAAACTGAACAACACCCTTCTTAGTAACTCTTGGAGAACTAAAGAAATAAGGGATTTAAAAATTCCTTAAAACAAATGAGAATTAAAATACAACATACCAACAGCTTTGGGACACAGCAAAAGTAGTACTCAGAGGGCAATGTATAGCAATAAATATGCACATCAAAAAACAAGACTCAAAATCAACACCTTAACCCAACATTTTAAAAAAGTGGAACAAGAACAACAAAATAAATGTTCAGTCACTAGAAGAAAATAAATAGTAAAAATTAGAACAGAAATAACTTAATCAGAAAATAGAAAAATCAAGACATTTGTTCTTCAAAAGGATGAACAAAATTGACAAACTACTGGCAAACTAAACAAAGGAAAAGAAAATGCAAATATCAAGAAATTAAAAGGGAGACTTCATAACAAACCAAATAAAAAACATCATAACAGAATACTACATAAAACTGTACTCCAAAAATTTTTTAGACTTAGATGAAAAAGACAAATTTGTAGAAATACACTATTTACTTAAATGAACACAGATTGATATAGAAAACTTCAACTGGTCCATAACAAAGAAGAAATAGATCCGGTCATTAAAAAACTAACAACAACAAAATCCAGAGCAGGCAGTTCCACCAGGGAATTCTACCAAGCATTCAGTTCACTGATTCTGCACAATTCCAGAACACAGACCAGAAAGGCAAACTCCTGGAACTCCTTTCATGAAGCAAGTCTAACCCTAAGACCCAAACTCGGCAAAAACATTACCAGGATAGAAAATGACTGATAAAAACCCAGAGGCAAATCCATCCACTTACAGACCACTAATCTGAAAAACATCAAATGGGAAGAGACAGTCTGCTCAGCAAATAGCACTGGCAAAGTTGCATTTCCATCTGCAGAAGAAGGAAACAGGACCCATCTCTCAGTCCACATACAGAAACAAACTCAAGATGGATTAAACACATTCTAAATAAGGGCCAGAACAATAAAGATCATCATGGAGAAAATAGAGACAGACTTAAGAGCTCTAAAATAGGGCATAAAGATACTATGAAACAATAACACACACACACACAGACACACACACGACTAAGTAGATGATTGGGGTCTTCTAAAAACAAGACACTTAGAAAAAAATCCTACAAAGCCTTAAAAAAAAAAAGACACTTCTGTGGATCAAGAGAAAAGAGAATCCACAGACTGGGAAAACATTTTGACAATGACACATCAGACTAGGGACCATTATCTAAAATCTACAGAAAAATGATATTGAAAAACAACGGCTAATTCAATTTTTTAAATGAGCAAAGGACACGAACAGACAGTTCACAAAAAAAGACATCCAGGCAGCCAACAAACATATGAAGAAATGCTCGGGATCCCTAGGCATCTGAGAGATGCAAATCAAAACAGCGAAGAGACACCACCTTACCCGAGGAGTGATGGCATCTTTTTTTAAAAAAAGGGAAACTAACAGATGCTGGAGCGGGTACTGAGAGATTGGAACCCTCACAATCTCTGGTGGTGGGACTGCAAAATGTCTCAGCCCTGTGGAAAGGAGCATGGCACTACCTCAAAGAACTTGGAACAGAAAGTCCAACCGCTCTGCTGGTCCACCCCCTAAATCAGTAAGAACCCTAGCACAAACAGACATGAGCAACATCCATGTCCTCTGCAGCACTGTTTACCATGGAAAGACGATTGGAACACCCTAAAGGCCCATCAGTAGAAGAATGGATAAGGAAACTTTGGTTCACACACACAGGAGAGTACTATACAGCTAAAGAATAATGAAGCACCTCACAGCATGGATGGACCTGGAGAACGTTATGCTGAGTGAAATAGTCAATCGCTACAGGGCAAATATTATACGAGACCACTGTTACAAAGAAAAAAATCAAGACAGAGGTGTTCAGACCAAAGGACATTGGCATTCATGGTTACCCAAAGTGGTGGGGCTGGGGGAGGGCGGAGGGCAAAGGCGGGAAGATGGCTCAATGGGCTAGCCGGCCAACAGGTGTGAACTTGGGCAAAGGGGGACTAATCCTGGACATAGGGAGAAAGGAACTCCAGGGAGAGAGGCAGGACAATCTACTGGGAGGTTTGATAAGTAGTGTAAGTTGCTGACTACCAAACTGATCATCTCGAATGTAACCCCCACCTAATCCTGAATTTTAAAAGTCGTTTTTTTTTTTTAAGTAAAGAAAGCATTGCTCTGAAAATGGAAAATGCTGAGCAAGTGTGTTATTACTGCTCAAGAGGAGGGAAGGAAGTGGTAGCTGGAATTCCTCTACCTTGCCCCAGAGAAAGCATCTGAACATCTGACTCCACGAGCCAAGATCTAGTCCTTTAGTAGAAAAACCCACAATCAGTCTGCTCGGGGTCCCCCACACTGCGCGCATAGTAAGACCCCAAAGGGCGTCAGAAGTCGGTGGAATCTTGAAGCCCAAAGTTTCAAACCAGAGCGTGGAGCCCTCCAGTGACAGTAGCTGGGGATGGGGTAGAACAG